TTAGCAACAAAAAAAAAGTTGCAGAAATCACTAAATAATAAACATTGTTAAGATCTTGTTTACAAAAGTAATTAAACTGATCTACGTATGGTCATCAGACCGAATCAAATCAGACCAGAGACCGATTGAAAGGTTGATTCCAATTACTTAAAAGGCAAAAGTTTACCGGAATTACAAAGATGAACTTGCATAAGGATCAGTAGTAGTAATGTTGCATATGTAACATGTTGCAACATCGATAGCATCACCGCCACTGTACACCGTCGTTACCAGCAGCGCATTCAGGCGACGTCAGATTTGCGTCGTCGGTTTTCGTCTGCCTCTCCGTTCCATCCCCGTGCCGGTTTCCTTACCAAACAGTTAACCTCATTTTTTGTTGGTGCCCAAAGAAAGAAACGCCGACGGTTCAGTGACCCGTGTTGCCAAAAATTTTCATCTTCAATTCTCCGAATTTTTTATGCCCACAGATTTCCAAATACATATCTGCATGTGCTCTGGTTACATCTTCACATTTGTTAATTCCGTTAAATACTCCCGAGAAAGCAGCAATGGACAATGGAAGAAAAGAAAAAAAGGAAGGAAAGAAGAATGAATTGCTATGATTTGAAAAAAAATTTCTTTTTCCCCCTGTAAACCAACTTCTTTTTCAAAAAAATTTATATCGTATCAGTAGAAAAAAAAAAAAATTTGACTTTTATTTGCAACAAATGTCATTTTGAATGTGAGATAATCTTTAAATTGAAAAAAAAGAAGAAGAAGTCTATTAAGGGAATAATTTTTCACTGGTTTGTAGTTCACCGGTGTACAGCATATATCACTTTTTCTTGTACTAAAAACAAAACAGATTTTAGTCTATTTCTTCTTACTTTTTTTTTTTTTGAAACTAGTCAACTATAATGCTTGAAGTTTTTCAAATATAATGGATTTACTGTTATTTGTTTAATAAGTAATAACAACTTTTTAGGATGAATTATGTTTTGTTTAAGGTGCTATTTTTTTTTTCTTTCTTTGATAATTGGCTAAAAAATTGCAAATAATAAATTTATTTTGATTTGCCGAATAATATTTCTGTACTCAATTACTTCTTTATTTTCTTTATGCTATTTTCTGTTTTTAATTTTATTAATTATTTACTTTTTATTTATCACCTTATTCTTTCGCTTTTTGTTTTTAACAATGACGATAAATCGAAGTTGAAACAACTTTTTTTTTTTATTGTTTGATTTAAGCTGCCACCCAAATACTACTGTAAAATTGATAGTATTACCCATCTGTATAATTAATGACTGAAACATTTGCAGTAATCAATTGTCATTTTTTAAG